GGGGATAGCAAGTTCGAGTCCCACTGCAGTCAACATGTCGTTGTGTCCCTGGGCAAGACACTTCACCCCAAAATGGCTCCTGTGGGGATTGTCCACAGTACTGCATGTATGTAAGTCGCTTTGGATAAAAGCGTCTAACAAGTGACATGTAATGTAATGATTATGGGTGTTGCAAACAAAACAAACAATAAACACAATTAATGTTATTCCCAATTATTTTGACCTTTGGCCTTGTATAATGGTCTGCAGAAGTGGACTTCAGAAGTGGACTTGCAAATAGATGAAACAGCAAGCACTGAGATGAACTTGCCACAAACATGCTGTCATTACACAGGGGGAATATTCCTTTTTACATTTTTGGAGCAGGGGATCCTGTTGCATGTCAATGAACTGGACTAAACATGCATGACAAGTGATGGTGTGTGTATGGAGGGAGGCAAAGGGGAGTCAACCCCATGGTGGTGTCAGCGAAGGATCTGTGTGTAATCTGCAGAAGATGCATGCAATAGACCGCCACACTATTTTATCTACAAGGCCCCTAATTGCGATGGATGCTGAAGAACACATGTTCGGAAGAGAGGAAGGGAAAGGGTGTCAGATGTCAGCAATGTGCAGGCATATGGTTCCTACAAGTTGGGTTACGTAAACTGGATATGACACAACAAATCAGGTTTGCTATTATGAACTTGTGAGGACTGCATCAAACTGCCTTATACTGTATCTTTTCCTAAATAAAGTCAGTCCCCTCTGTGTAAAGAGATTCTGAAAGTTTCAGGAAAAAATACTTTTTTTCCTGATCCATTTATATAAAAACCTGTCTGAAAATGAGCTGATCAGATTTTGTCCACTTTATGATGTAACGATTTTTTGGCTTGTGTAACCATTAGCCAATAACCAACCAAGGCAGTGGCGAGCCGTCAGGGCCCTCTAGGCCCTCTCTGAGTGCCTAAGATATTCTACAAAATAATATTTAAAAACATTAAACATTTTCGAATCATAAATCTATCGATTAGATTTATGATTAGAAAATTATAAAAGTAGGGTAGACAAGTGGCTATTATCCGGCTGAACAAAACGTGATCTGTCTCTTCAATTTGTGTCAACCACAGACCTTATTTCGAGCTATTTTCCAAAATCCTATGGAGAAATTGCATTTGTTTTTGTCGAAGGAACCGGAAGGAGTTTACTTCCGGGTTTTAGGACGCGTCACTGTGGCACTCTATTCCGCTGAAGTATACGCTGTGACGTAATAACTATTTTTTTTATTTTTTTTTCGAGGGAAGGGGTGGGGGTCAGAGGGCCTAGGTATAAAAGTCATGGCTCGCCACTGAACCAAGGTCAATATCACCTGAATCTCATCCTAGTTACATTGTGTTCCTTTTAACCAAATATCTCACAGAGGGGCGTTGGGAGTGGCTCCTTATTTTCATCTAAAGTAAAAGACAGAGAATCAGCACTTTTGAAACAGGGCTGAAACAGAGGGGTTTATGAGATGCTACAATGCATGATCTGTTTGGTATTTGGAGCCAAACACTTCAGAGACATGTTTTGTATATATATATATATCTGAGACTATAATATATTGATGAAAAACAGTATAATAGGGGACCATTAAAGCTAACATAATTGTGACCATTACATCGAGATAATATAATGACATTAAGGATAGGTGCCATCACCATAGCAGAGGATAACATTGGAAATTAAACAGTATGACATTTAGCCCAAAAACAATACCTACAGTTCTGTCAAACCCTGGATGAAGCAAAAATGGTGAACCCAAAACATGAACCATAAAAGATAGAGAACTGCTTGGCCATCTTTGTTGGTTGAGAAGGAGGCTTTAACAAAGCAAGAACACGACGTGAGGTAACATGAGTGATCCAGCATATTATTCCCGCTTTAAAGGACTCATAACCTTCAACTCAGCCATTGTATGGGGCCATCTCATCAGGAATGCACCACTCATGCACATACACAAACACCCACACAACCCTTCCCCTTTCAATTCAAATCCCCCCACAGTTCTCCCCCTATTCCTTCATTATGCACTTGTCCTTCTCTTGTGCTCACAGCAAATATGTGCTACTTTGTTCACATTTTTCACCATGTACCCTCAACATAATCCGCTGTCTGCCTTGGACATTTGTGCCAACCAACTTAAGTAAACAGAAAGATGGAGACGACATAAGAAGTGGTTGACCTTGTACATGAAAGCTACCACTATCACTTAGGAGATGGTGTGGTTATTGTTAGGACAAATGGGGCCCATCTGTTTGTTTGTTGTTTGTGCTTGTAAATGCACCACTTCCCAAAATGAAAAAATCTGCTTGTTCTGTACCTGGCATGGTTTTGCTAGTTTTTTCTGGACACATTTTATGAATGCTATTTGATTGAAATTGACGGATAGAGCAAACATAATCATTTAGTCTTGGTCTAGGTGTTTTTTGTTCATATTGTAAATAAATTGTATGAAAATGTTGATGTTTGACTGAAACTGTCCACTAGCCCTTCACTCTATCATCTCTCCCTTCAAGTTCATCAAAATAGCCCAGTACAAAAACGAATATTTATTAATATTTACGAGTATATTTGTGTGAGTTGGGCGCAACATGATGATAGGTTACAGTGAATTGAGAGTGCATGCTTGCCTGTGTGTGCCCTGCCAGAAGACATTACGCATACAGTAGATCTGGTTTGTAGTGTATGAGCATTCGGCCGCCAACCCATTCCCAGCACTCAATCACACGAAGCCCATCGCATTTGCATGTTGTAGCATTGAGTCGGGAGCAGATTGGAGGTGTAGCAAATGGGCTGAATAATTTCACCTGACAATCAATTATTGTTGAAATTGAGTTACATCAAAAACATGATTTCTGCTGCCGAGTTTGATTTGTCAGGTTTCATTGGAGGTTCATTCAGTCAGTCTAAATGTGACGTAGGGACTGATTTAACTACTACGCGCTGAGGGAATGAACGAGACAGTAATAGTGTTGAGGACCATGCAAATCACCTGCAAAGAAAACCTTGTAAATCCCAGGCTGGGAAGTGCACAAAGCCGCAACAAGGAGCAATAACACATGGCACACATACTATTCAAATGTAAATATCATTATTGTGCAAGTCATAAACCATAACCCAGTTGACTATTTTAAAGATGAAGTTGATGTGCACCATTATATATGTAATTGTTCTGTTTCATTGCCAATAAATGCAACAATGTATTCACACTGTCTGCCGTGTCTTTTCTATTATTGTCACCGACAAATTTATTGTTATTTCTATAAATCTCTGCATAGTTATTTTCTCATTTAATTCAGTCTATGATTTCTCTGTTTTTATCACTTTTATAAAGTAAATAAATCCTGGTTAAAATATAAAAAATGCAGTCAATGCGGCATCAACTAGGGCAACAGAGCAAGTGACACTAAAACCGGCTTTAAATTACAGAATGAAATCAGGGGTCGACCTCTCCCTCTTTCTTTCCCTGCTTTGAAACTGGTGTCTCCAATCTTTTTCCACGACCAAATGACTCTTAACTCTGCTGAGTGTAGCATGGGTCAGGCAGCTAGATTGAAGCCAGGGTGTCTGGTTAGTGTTCAGGTTTAACAGGAGATTTCTGATGTCTGATTTCACTCAACAGGCCAGCCGCTACTCTCTGAGTGCCTTGCAGTAATGCTTTGCAGATATGCCAGTGGAACAATGGGGGAATATGTGCTCAGCTAAACTCGGTTCAACTTTATTATCATTTTAAAGGCTGTTTTCTTAAATTTTTACAACATATTTATATCATTGAAGGTCGACTTTATTAAAAAATACCTTTTTTTTTTTTAAGAAATAGAACCGACAGCTACACAAACTAAAGCCTCCAAAATAACCATTACAATACTTACACCTTTCAAAGAGTTTCAACAAAAATCCAATGTTAGAAATATAATAAAGACTAACTGTAAAATGTTGTCCTATTAGACGACATTGGTGTAAGCTAGGTGTAACAAATAAACTGCAAATCAGTGCACATAACATGTTTAAGCAGAGAAAAATATATAATTTTTGCAAGTGGATTTCATAAAGACCTGAATAAAAAAAACATGTCTTTATGAAAACATACTACCTCAAAAGATATGAGAGGAGTGTGTCCTTGGAACTCAAGTCATTGAGTGGGATTCAAGCAGTAGATGTTTGGCTGAATTAGGTGCAGTTTAGCCACCCACATATTGTGCACACACAGGCCACACATGAACTGTCAACACTTGAACTGTCAATTGAATGAATCGGTGAAAAGGCTTGGCTGCATGCGAGGTACTAAACTCTACAGTGAAAATGAAAAACCTTTACAGCCCAAACTACAGCTTCTAAACTGAGATTTTAAAAAGCGAGGCACCAGATGCGGCCCTATTGAAAACAGAGCGAGCATTAGGAAGAAAAAGGTAGATAACCATCAAAATAATTCAATTAGCCTGTCATTCTTATATATTCAGATTTCATCTTGAATTCACATTTCTTTGAAAAAGCACATGATGGTTGGCCTTTTTTGTTCTTTTGATGTGCTGGAGGACTTGTTGTGCTTTTTGAGAAGCAAGGACAGCCGAAACATAAAAATTAGCAATCACTCTTGTGAATTGCTAATATGTTCAGTTCCAGAGATATCTGGTTCAAATTCTAAACAACGGGAAAAGGTAAGGTAAATTGGAGATAGTAGTAAAAATCTTAGAAAAACAAAATTCCCAAACAGTAATTGCAATTAAAAGTAAGACAGACACTTAGAACAAGTGTTTGCTTGGTTCCAGTTGCACCTGAGCAAAAGGATTATATAGCGAGCAAGACAGATTGCAGCAAATACTAGGGTTCTGTATAATGCTGGATTATTTGGTTTTGCCTTATGACTTGATCTTCTTTAAAATGACAAAGACAATTCTGCACCATTTAAAGATACTTTTTTAAGCAAATGTATTGACAGGAAAAGCACAGATTTGCATTATGATGGTATGACAACTCACCTCTGGTCCTGTCTTCCTCCTTCCCCGGGCTGGGGGTGTTGCTGCTAGTGTGGTACTGGGTAGGGGTGGCCTCCTCCTCTTGGCTTGGGGTAGTTCCTAGCGGGAAACTGACAGGACGAGAGCTGGTAACTGAGCTGGACGGTCGGGAACTGGCGCAGTTCTGTAAGAAATGAGACGGCAATATCAGCTACATGGGATCACAGGAAAACACAGTCAATGGACAACTTTCACGACAGCTGATAAGGACAAAGATATCAAGTCCATCCATTCTTTATTTGTCAATTATTGGTGATGCTAATTAGTAAGACATTTTTTCTCTCATCACAAACAGCAGCCTCATTTTCACTGGCTGTCTTTGTTGTACTACGATAGGGATTTATTAGTGAAACACTTTCAAATTGTGTTTTCTTTTTATAAATCCACATGATTTAAAGATGCCTCTGAGTATAAAAATGTGCTCTTTTATATGTTCTTTAATGCCATCCACCTGGCAGAGACTGCTAATGAAAAATGATTTAAGATTTAAGTGCTCATGTTAATTAATGTGCATTGTCCCTTTGTAATAAAAAATCCGTAATATAATATTTCGCATTAAAGAACTTATAAGTTAGAGGGATGATTTTAACATTTTAACTTTTTTGCTCAAAGTTCTTCACCAATAGAATACATCTCATTAAGCAGTCACACTTAATAATGAACATAAATAGACATCATGGGCTATTGTAGATTACAGTATTGTCCTTCCCACAATTCCAGGATAAAACCTGAGCAGCTGCTCTATGAATTTAACTCAGAGGCCTCCTTGTTTCACATAAGCACACGCATCATCCAGCCAGACCAAAATAAACGGCAATCACAGAAAACCCATTTGTTTGCACAGCTCTCAAACAGACTGAGGGGCTTCAACAGGCTCCAGGGCTTCTTATATTTCATACTGTACATCTATCGGGCAGGAATGCCTCCACACTGAGGGCCTGCCATCCTGGCTGCTTTTGTGTTGTGGAGGTCTAGCTTCAGTGAATGTCATACACACATGAGTGGAAAGAGATAAATACATGCACTGCTATCAGTTGTTGGAAAATATCTGTTTTCAGTTCAATACCTTTTTTAGAGGCTCAATACTGACTCCAAAAAACTCCCTGCGTACTATATGTTGTCAAAACTTGAATTAAGATAAAAAAAACGAATCCGCTTCCAAGTTATATCTATATTTCAGTGGTGTCAGGGGCACAGAGTATTGGGGGGGGGGGGGTTATTTGGATCCTGCAACTGACAGCTTTATTTCACAAAGCAATCTGGCTGTGTGTGTACAAGAAGGAGGTCAGGGTGGGTCAGGAGATACTTGGTATCAAACAGGCAGTCAACGTTTGTGTGTGTATGTGTGTGTGTGTGTGTGTGTGTGTGTGTGTGTGTGTGTGTGTGTGTGTGTGCGTGCGTGCGTGCGTGCGTGCGTGCGTGCGTGCGTGCGTGTGCGTGCGTGTGTGTAATCCCCCCCTCCCATCCTCGAATATAAAAAATCTGTGCGGGCGACCCACGTCCATATAAAAGTGCTCCAAAAGGAAAAGAAGCGGGCTAAAGAGGTTGACAGAAGTGTGGGATATGGAGCGGAGAATGTGTGATTAGGTTTGGTGGAATTTATATGAGAGGTCATCAAGGTCAGAGGGGAGTCACATCACTGTACCAAAAGCAATATATAGTTCCTATATTATTCAAATTATGTCATGTTTTGTGCTAGGTCAGATACAACACATTTAATCTGATTTCAGGTGCACTGTTTATGATACAGTTAATGGCTCTTATTGTGTCGGCCTGGTGCTCGACCTTCCTTAAAATAAATCACACAGGATCATCATACACATGTTAAAATATCTAACACGTATGGCTTAGTATAGACTGTTTATCATGTTGGTGATGATGTTTAAAATAGGACAATACCATTTTAAAATTATTTAATTTTGGTAAAATATTTCTAAATTGCAGTTGCAGTGAATTACCCCTTTGGGTTAACCCTTCAAACCCTGCAAATAATGCAAGATAAAAAACCCTCTATTTCCGACAAGTGCCATTCGTCTTCAAATGACCCCATATGCAGTAACACCGCCAAAGCCTCTTTATCCCTCAGCCGGCAAGGCACGATACCCAATCCTATGTTTTACAACAAGGGGATATATAGGGGCATGTGCGGTCAACTAGAGCCAAATGTCTCCTATCTAACCAAAGGACAGGTAGATACAGTATTTCAAGCAGGATTTATGGCACAAAATAGCATTAGCTAGAAACCGTCAGGCGGCGGTGATGGCTAAAAAACGCATTCTGGTAGCGGAACCCGGCAAGATTGGAAAATTGCCACCACCAGAGGGGAGAGGAAGCAGTAAAAATGACGGTATATGGGGGGGCCTCACTGATAACATGAGCAGACAATATATCAGACTGCACCTGGTGGAAAGGGGTCTCAAGGGGCCCCCCTAAATGACCCGCCCGACACACTCACTTTAATTTATCTTTTTATTTATTTAATTTCTTCTCTTCCTTACAGTGTCCAGCCCTGAGGTGGGGGGGGGGGGGTCAGAAGGAAGTAGGTGCGCCCTGATGTTTTAAAAAACCAATCTGCCGTCAGAAATGGTTTCATTCCTACTTCAATGACCTGAAGTGTGTTAGGGTGGGGAATATTAGGGGGTACATATGTGAGGGTCAGGGTGCAGTGGGAGGGGCAGGACGAAGTGATGCCGGCCAAAGAGGAGTGGAGTTAACGTGATCACTCATAAGGGACAAGATGCATTTTATGTGCGTGCGTGTGTGTCAGATGGCGGGGGCAAAGGAGATCTATAATTGTCTGCGCGTGTGTGTGTGTGTGTGTGTGTGTGTGTGTGTGTGTGTGTGTGTGTGTGTGTGTGTGTGTGTGTGTGTGTGTGTGTGTGGTATGTGCCTGTTGGTGTGTGCTAGAGACTATTAAGTACTTTTAAAGTGCTTTCCGCAGCCTACAATATGATCTAGCACACACACTCATACACACCCACACACTCACACACAGAGCATCGCATCGCCTCAGCCAAACAGCAGCGTCCAACAAGGTATAAATACTGGCCTGACACTTTAATGTCGGGGGACGGCTTGTCCTGGATTAGAAACTTGTAACCCACCGTGGAGCTTGACATTGCTGGGATGAAGGTGCTGCAATAAGCAGGGTGAGGAAGGGGGAGAGCTATTAAGGAGGGTCTATGTTTGATGTATAAGGGCATCTAACATGGACTGTCTCCTAGTGAGAGGCCAGCAGATGTTCAATGTTGCTTATTGGCCAGCTTTCATTGGCAAGGAGCATTTCACAACAAGTAACAAACTCACACACACTCTTAGACCCAGCAATGAGAAGATTACGTACTGAAAAATTAAGCGCCTTTCTCCTCTCCTTGATCCTGTTGACCGTGCTCCGAACCTGAAAGAAAAGAGAGAGAGAGAGAGAAAGGGTTAAGTATGTCTGACACGGCACTCAATGAAACACACTTACAATGAGCGACCAAAGAGTAAAAAGGAGAAAGAGTATGTGTAAATAACAAATTTGGACCATTATTTTAATGTAACCTACAGCTGTTGGGGAGGTGTGTTTGTGTGAGTGTGTGTATGCGCGCGTGTGTGTGCCTGAGAGAGAGAGAGGTGTTCCAGTATGTCCCAGTGGCTAATGGGACTTGAAAGTGACACATAGAGCAGGCAAACTAAGGAGACGACTTCAAGCTATCATCTGTCAGCATAGAGCGCCGGGACCAACAAATGGAGCTATTGGAGGAGAAGGGACCGCCCTAGCAGAACAGATTACATTTTTACACTTCGGATGAAACAGTGTACAGCATGCCTTCATTTGACACACAATACCAGACAAGCATTTCATAGATTTTAGAGAACAGTCTTCAGGTAGACAATTTCAGTAAACACTTGTTTTAACTCACCTCCAACATTAATATGTAAATTAATCATTGTTTACTGAACTCATTCATTTTTTGTTCAATTGTTATTATATACATTTTTAATTGAATACTTTTGAAAATGTTAAAATAAAATAAACAATGCATGATTTTTGAAATACTGTGACAATTACAAAAAAAGAAGGATCATTGCTTGATGAGGTCATTATTTGTATGCCCTTTAACTTTATTTAAATTACATTTATCAAAACATTTTTAAATGTCATCAAAGTACTTATGACAAATGACTGTGTTTAATAATATCAACTGACATCATTATTGTGTAATTAATGTCACAGGATGCAAATAATCCAGGGTTTACATTTTTCTAATGTGTTTATTGAATAAAACTATGCATTAATGAGGCAAACAAAACTCATTTGCAAATAAACAAAGTGTTACTAGACAGACCTTTTATAAAATCAATAATATTCAAACCAGGATTAAATCTGAAATAGCGCCAATGAAAATAAAGGTTATTTGTATTTTTTCTCACGGCAATAGTTATGAATGAATGCATTTTCCTGCTAGAATTGTAGATGCATTAATTACAAATAAAATGTAATAGGTCTGCTGAATATTTGTCAATTAAACCATTTAAAAAATATATATTATTAATACAAAATTGCAACAACTTCCTATTATTGTTACAGTAAACAAAATATCAAAATACACCAGCAGGACTCAGTGTGTTGGTAGCAGCTCAGTTAAGTAGGATGAAGTCTTCTATGAAAAGCCTTTGGCACTTATGAGGTCTGTGTGTGTGTGTGTGTGTGTGTATGTGTGTGTGTGTGTGTGTGTGTGTGTGTGTGTGTGTGTGTGTGTGTGTGTGTGTGTGTGTGTGTGTGTGTGTGTGTGTGTGTGTGTGTATACGTGCACGTGCACATTGTCAGCGTTCACTGTAAATTTGTAGCGGATGGGCACTCATCACTACAGCCCGTCCCAGCCCAGCCCACCACGTTAGTGAATATGCATTATGGCTTATGGCTTCATTAAGTAGCAGCGTGTTATAAATTATGACACCGCACTGAACACACACACAGTCTCAGAGACAGCATGTGTATACAGAGGATGTTTTGCATACGCACCAACGTTGAAGGGCCACATAATGAAGAGAGCCCAAGCCTTGTGACAGCACAGAATCAACAGCACCAGCATCATGTTTCCAAAACCCTCCTATTGAAGGCAGAAGGCCTTCAACGCGGTGCAGACGTTGGATAGACACCGTTTTTACACAATTTAATGGGGAAAGTAAGTCCTGGGGATTCCATTGATATCCAAAGCAGCCGGCGTGCTGAGGCAATTACATGACACAACTTAATTAATCATTTGACAATGAGGGGAAGGGCATTGTTTTAGATGATTGTTATGTGTTTAAGGGGTTTTGCGCACACTCAAGGTTTCGCAATGATGCAAAGCGTGGTTCCCCATGTAAATGGGCGCTAAGCGATTACCATATGAAAGCAGCACGCCCAACAACACCTGCCGACATCCTTGGAGCTGATGGAAATAAAAGGTCATCAAAGCATAGAATTACAAGGTGACCACCAAGGAAAAGCTAATTGCAATGAATAATGGAAAGCTATTGTAAGGTAATTAGCAAAGTAAAAGGCTGCATTTTAGGGTAATAGCAGCAAATGCAGTATGACTTCCATATTGGTAATTATTGAGCGTGGAAACCAACCTCATGAATGAAGCATTTTTTTTACTTAGATGCAGTTGTTAATTTCACACCTTTTTTAACATATCAAAGCGAAATGTATTCACGCTAAGATGGATAAATAATATGTGTTCTACCCAGTTAACTACTAACAGCAACTTCGGAAGGTTTTTCTTTACTCCATGGACGTATGTGTGTGATAATGTAATTTAATGATGTGTTACCATCTACTGCCATACATGCATGTTAGCTTCACTTCCCTGTCTAATATTTGCCTTTCCCTGACACTCTGATTCCAGGGAAGAAACATTCAAACTTTTGATCATTCCCATTTAGTGTTTCAGGATTTCTTTTATTAGGCAAATATTTCCTTCCGAGTGTCAGAGAGGGTGAAACCTGAAGCCAGCTGTGCTCTCTCTCACATGTTTGAACAGTTAAGGACCAAAAGGAAACGCAGGTTGAGGGAAAATAAAAGAAGCATCTTAGAAAATATGTTAAGAGGAAAAAAAGAAAAATGTGTGGATGTGAATAATTTCTAAATTACGGATCTTTTTTCAACAATAACAAAGAAATGTGGACCTTTTGAAAACTGGAACATGTACATGAGCAGCACCCAGGGTCAAGGGCAACCGGAGTGTAAGAAATGAATTCCCAAGTAATAAAAACGCTACTTAAGCAAGATTGAGGGTGTAGATTTATTCTAAAGCACCAAGGGTCAGTCTTCCCTGTCTCTGCATTGTGGGCGCATCACCTATGAAACAGGGACATCTCTTCAAACTATGGAGAACATATGGGTGAAGAAAAGAAGGAGAAAATGGGAAATAACAGGAAGTGAACTTGTTATATGTGAGTTGTCCTCTTTGATGGTCAGACTAACAGATGTGATGATGAAAGAAAGAAAATAGACAGAAAAAAGGAGGGACTAATGTAATACTGACCATTATATTTGCAGAGCTGCATAATATATAACTATGTTACACAGATATTTAAAAAAGCTGCTCTATAAGGTGATCATGACCTTTTACATTAGGTCAAAGCATTGATCTTTTACAGTCAAAAGCAACAAGAGGTTATTATTGTATTATTATCAAATAATGTATGTTTTGATCAAATGGTAGCTTTATAAAACATTTCTGCTATTATTATATAATTTGTCGTACATTTCAGGGATTGTTATCATATCAGGGTGAGTTTGGAGTGCTTGAGAGAAAAAAAAAAAAAAAAAATCTAGATTTCCTCTTTTTCCTTAAGTTTGTAATGGCAAGTTGACCTCAAGTAAAAATAAAAGTGCTGTATTTTAAGAGGGCGCAGATGCAAAATCACACATGGAAATCTAAACGTAACCCTATTTACATAGACTAAGAGCCACATTTGACCAAGAGGGATTTTCATGACTTGAGTCTCATCCATTAAATTGTACCCCTCTGTCTTTCGTCTCGGCACTCAACCAAACCCTCCACCCCTACACAGCTAAGGCGCATCTAAATGGTAATAAAGCGGCATCTCAATACAATATGTCCTCCTCCTTCATAGCATATTGTTGATTACATATTTTTTTGTTTTTTCTCCTATGGTTTCTGCTTGGGGCCCTCCAAAGCCCTGGCCAGCAGCTTTGTCAGGATGCTAAATGGAGGGCCGTGAGTTTAAAAACTTAAAGAGGCAGTGAAATATTAGCCAATGTGGGTGAGGAATGAGTGGCTGAGAAGCGCGGCGTGTCAGTGTTTAATGGTCGGACTCGGATGCATATAAGTTAGTCCAAGCATGAAGGGCAGTGGGACGCTCGCGTGGAAACGATGTCCCCTCCCCTCCTTCCCATCCCTCCTCCCATCCACAGACGCGTTCACACACATACACACTTGTACTGTCACACCCCACCCACACAGCTTTTAAGCAAGGAGCCCATCAGAAACTTGTCATTTCTCTCATTCACTCCGACAGCCTTGAGACACAATGCAGACTTACCTCTGTGTTGTACACCCCATATATCAGGAAGATGAACAGGCCCTGCAAACACAGACAAAGAAAGAGCGAGAGAAAGAAAGAGAGAGAGAAATAAAGAGAGAGAGAGAAAGAGAGAGAGGAGGACAAAGTTGTTACAGTTGTTCTCTCTCTTATCCTCTAGTAAACCACAAAAGATAAAAAGTAATGAGTGGAGCAACATGTTCGATTAAGCTTGATTTCTACTCTTTTCTGGCAACACTGAGCTGAAGTAGACTGTAAAGTAATTAGACAAGAAGAAAGACTTGAAAGAGTCCAAATTGGGCCACCTCCACAATGTTCAGCTTGTGTTGGTTCCGTCTACATGTTGGAGCTCAATTCAGCCCTCAAGCCATCAAAGGCTCAAACCCAAGGTTCCACGTAGCTATATTGAATATAAAAGTATACAGTGCCTGTTTTCACTCTGTGTTCTCAGACCCCGTTTACACAAGGACGATACGGGTTGTATCCGCATAGTTTCTCTTGCGTATAGCCCTTTCGTTTACACGAGGCCGTAACAAAACGATAGAAACGGACCCCGCAAACGATAACGGGTCCCAAGGTGCATAGATCTGCAAAAGGAACGCTCTGGGGGGTCAAACGGCTCCGTGTGTATGCCTTTATACGATCATTTTCTGATAACGATGAAATAGCCCCGCCTCCCTCTCCCCACGTCTCCTGCTCAGAGATCAGCTGCTGGGCGGTCAGAAGAGGGGGAGGAAAAGAGAGGCTCCGTTTATTATTCTTATATTATTATATAGAGTCGTTATTCATTTGTTTTAAAGCTCAATAAATAACAAAGAAGACCTCTGACCGGCACTTTTCTAATTTTGTCCAGAAGATTTCAACTTTAACGGACATGTTGACCGGCGGAAATTTTTTTTAACGGAAACTCTGCCGCATGGTTTCCTCGTCCCTTGGAAGAGGCGGAGAGGTGGGTGTTTTTCATCTGCTGGTGGACTACCGGAGAGATTTACAGCAGGAGCACACGCCGTCCACCGCGGAGAATAAATAGAAGGGCAACCATGGCAACCATGCTCCGGGGTCTTCTTCGCTGCTTTTGGTGTATTTTGTGGCGGCAGCAGCGCCAATTACAGGCCCGGCATATGTACTACAGCGTTTCCAGCGGGTCGAGCGGTCTCGTGTGAACGGACACGTTAATTGAGCCGAATGCGTGTGAACGGAAGACTTTTTTGAAAACGCATACGGTGCGTAAACGCAAACGTTCCCGTGTAAATGGGGTCTTAGACACTGAAACACACAAATAGACGATTGCTTATCAACCAACACAGATAAAAGATTTCAAGCTCACACATACCCACACAAAGTAAATGCATTGGAAACAGATGATACCGATACAAATAGCAAAACATTATAAGGAAACAAAGACAGTATGAACAGAAAAACCTATTAAAAAGCGCACACACACACAAAGGTACATAAAGAGAGCAACTCAAGCCAGACGAGACTCTCAAGAAAACCCATTGGAGGAAAGCAGAGAACGAGAGAGACAGAGGGAGCATAATGAAAAAAATGACACATAAAAGAAGATATTTCATTTTCACAAAACTCCACGGCTTGTACCCATGGTCAAAGAATGCCATGTCCTTGGATGCATAAAGGCTGCACTTTTGGTCACAGAAAAACAGCTATTTTTCATTCCAATCTATTGAATGTACAAGCTGTGCATTCGCCTTCAAGCCATAATGTAATACTGTTGCCTCAATGGAAACAGTGAAAACAACATTCTCAGAGCAACGATTGAACCCGTGTCACAAAAGATGTACCGAGAAAAATAAAAAGGCAGGTAAAAACCTATAAATTTCAAGGCTGACGGATACAGTAGATTCTTTGACTAGCCAACAATGCCTCCACAGGTCTAACTAACACACAAAAAAAACTTTTAAAAGTACATCTCTCCCCTTTCACCGCTCAGAGTGTGTCTGTGTTGCTTCATCTTTGAACGAAGGTAAGGACACATCCTGAGGACAGGCAGACACAACCTGGTCAACGCATCAATCAAGTCGAGTTTGGAGTATCCAATTTTTGCCAGAGGGAGATCTCGATGCATCACCATTGACAACATGATTTGGAGCCCATTCAGAGTGACAGGCCGACGATAGCAACAGTGACGACCTCTAGCCCAAGCTACTGCCCATTCACCTCCTACCGGCTGCTCTCCTGTCCTCCAGGGACTGAATTGCCCTGTCTGTCGGGCTGTCAGGTGACATTTTGGGACATCCATCCTCTTTAAACTGACAATTCTGCTGGTCTCTGACATGCTGAAGACAACAGGCATAACAAGGGATCTCACCCTGAGACCTGTGACCATCTTTATACTTCTTACTTTCTATTTTACAGTACAAATTGAAAATCATTTAGGGCACAGCACTATAGTGAGGGAGTTCACACACACTCACACAGCTATTTGGGGTTCAGTATCTTGACATTGTCCTTGAAGGACCCTTCGATATAGACAGGAGGAGCAAGGGATCAATCCTCACGACATTCTGATTGGTCTATTCTCCCTCCTATACAGTATCACATGGACCCATGAAAAACAAATAAACAATAACAAAAGACAAATCGCCATCACAATTGTTTCAATTTCCAACTGTTGACTTAATCCTCAACTGTAACAATGTGATGTCATTGTTGAGTCATAGGCCACCGACTGTTATATTTATTTTTTAAATACATTTGAAAGTACTTCATTTGAGAATTAAGCAAAATAAATATATGCATTACAGACGAGGTCTAACAAAGGCATTGGTAGAAATGCATTTCTACTAATGGAGGGTGAATGTATTTCCTTTAAATAAATGTATTTCTGTTTTAATAAACAGGTTTAAATAATGGTGTCAGACCACTGCAGGGTAAAATATGAGTTTTATTGTTGTTTTTATTTATGAAAAACAATCAAAATCTTGTATATTCATTGATAAAATCAGATTAAAACAGTTTATCATAACATACTGTTGTTGTCGAATACACTTTTCTCACACACAAAAACACGCACTCACACACACTTTAGCACACACGCACCCACGTACAATAATAGACAGTGGGTGGTTAATTTGCAACACATACCCTATTGTATTGCATTAGAATTGCAATTTCCAACTTATTGTTGCAATTTGATTATCATGTTTTTGATCATTCCTCTTATTTGTAATTAATCTTTTGTTGTGTAGTGAACAAAGTGGGGAGAACATACTGTGCACATTAGGAAAAATGATCTATTAAAATATAATTGAGTTAAAAATAAGTGGCAGCACAACAATAATGATGGATTGTTTAAAATGTTAATTCATTAATATTCCCACTAAAAACAAACAGAGACAAAAATGGGGCACATTATTTAAATGCATGTGTGCTTTTCTAAACCCAGTCCTGTTTCTTTTGAACTCGGCAGCAAATGCTACAAATTTATGCAAAGAAAGAATGCAATTGCTTTCAAAGTATTGCCATACTGTACATCAAACAGGGAAGCATAAATTAATTAGCATCAAGCTAATTAGGGAACAATTGTATGTTTAAAAAGTTAAAGCCAACAAACACTGTGTTTGCCTGAAAACATTATTACCCCAGAGTTATGTATTATTATGCTGCAGCGCGAGACACAAAATAGCATTTGTTTAAAGGAAAAGCAGACAGAACAAATCATAGAGATCAATTTACCTAAAATAATTTAAATAAGTGAATTCACTTAATGTGGTTATACTGTTTACTCCCGGCTGTGTGTAATATTAACAACATTATTTTAGAAGTTTAACAAGTTCTTCCTCTGCTGTCTTTGTACCTCACTGTTTCTAAAAGTGTCGGCCGAGTGCATTAAATGTTCGAGGTGATACACCAAACACTTCCTTTGTGCCATTAAAAGCTTTATCTCAGTGTTTGTGTAAATGTTTAAGAGCCTAAATGTGTGTGCACATGAATAAAAGGCTTACTTTACTGTCAAAATATAGAGATATAAGGCAGATAATGAGGTTATTATATCCTGTCTAAAGAGATTGACAGCTCCTGTATTATTAGGTAAAATGCAGTTTGAATTGCAATTAAAAGTTAAGTGAACCAGTTGCCAGACAGTAAAAAAATATTGAAAGCCTTTCACATATTTAATCATTTAATTTAATTAGTAGACAAAGTTAATTAGCCATTGGAGTTGTTAGCTTAAAGATACTTTCCACAAGCATCATATAATGGGCATCATATGATATCTTATTATAATTGATTACATGTTACACCCTATTTTCAAGCATATATCAAATGAAACTAAATACAGTGTGTTTCTCGTAAAACATACAAATAAACCAGGCAATTTAAACATTTGCTAAATAAGTAATTAATCAAAAATAGCATGGATGAATATTTGATCCACATTCACACATTGGCCGAGCCATAATTTCTTCCATCACTAACATGTGTTAACAAATTCCTTTATCAATTCAATTTCTACTTAGCGTGGTTTCAAAAACACTGCTATAATGAAGGTTTTGCGTACATCGATGTAATGCTATAAAGGAAAACTGTATCAATGGAACTGCTTATTCCAGGAAAGGTCAGTGGTGAATGTATATTATAGTTACAGGAGATCTCCACATTCAACTACAGAAAATGGTGCCAGCAGAGTTTAAGAGAGAGAAATATAGACCACAATAGACTCAGGGTGATGGTCACAGGTTCAAACCCCACTGCAGTCAGCATGTCGTTGTGTCCCTGGGCAAGACACTTCACCCCAAATTGCTCCTGTAGGGATTGCCCACAGTATTGAGTATAATAACATGTAATGTTATGTAACAATCAGCAGAAATGTATAAATTAGTCAAATTAAAGTGGACCTATCATGCTATATTTGAATAATATAGTATGGGACCATACCTATATAAGGCATATTTATACTTTTTTTTTCAAAATACCAAACAGATCATGCATTTTAGCCATGCCTCATTTTGCTCAATTTGAAAATGTTTTGCTCTGTTTTTGCAAGGGCAGATTCTGTGAAAACAGTACCATCTACTGGCCTG